GGCAGGGCCCACAGTCCTTTCTCCTCCCCTTACCCCAACCCCCTATAAAACCTCTCTCCACACAGAGTTTTCTCTCTCTCTGCCACTTGCTGCTGTGCCAGTAAGGGGGGGCAGGGGAGCCAAACCTAGGTTTGAAATAAATGACTCTTTGCTTTTGCATCGGACTCGCTGGCTCCCTGGTGGGCCCTTGGGAATCTTGAAATCTGGGCACAACATTCACTATTTAAACTACCTTACGGTGATTTGTTATAGCAGCTGGAGCAGACAGAGGGTTAGATACAGGGTTCACCAACTTTCTATTTTGGACTTTCTAATTTTCTATTAAAGACGATTAGAAAAATACAATTACTATCTACTATCACCATCAATTCATATGTACTCTATTGCTAAAAGTCAGGAAATATATAATCGAAAAAAAGTTCTCATTTTGCTGGAACAGTAAATATATCCATCTCAGACTGGCATTTGTGACTGAGTAGTTTAAAAATGGGACCTTTAGTGGCTCAAATAAATAAAAATGGATAAGAGGGGTTTCCGACACAGTTGGATCTAGGTGCCCTAGTTATGTAGTCTAGAACGGTTGGCAAACTGCGGCCCCTTGAGTGTGGCTCTTCCACAAAATACCACGTGCAGGCACACACATACAGTGCGATTGAAACTTCGTGGCCACACTCAAGGGGCCAAAGAGCCGCATGTGGCTCGAGAGCCGCAGTTTGCCAACCACTGTTCTAGAATCTCCATTTCTGGATTTCATTGTCTTTGGTAGTGACATCAGCCTCACACTGGCTCTCCCCATGAGGGGACTAGTTGACCAATGGCAGCATCTACCTTGTATTCTACCAGCCTACCAACAAACTATTGATTCTTAGACCTGACTCAATAGCGCAAATTGGATTATGTGTCTGTCCTTTAAACTATCATATTGACTATGATTGATCAGTTGGGGGTTATATGCCCCTTCCTGGGAGGCAGGTGTGAGTATGGGAGACTAATAGTACAGGAAAGTTGGTTCCTGTAGAGAGCACCTGGGAAGGCACATAGGCATTTCTTTAATTATCGTCAGCTGAATCCAGTGGCACTGGCAAAGCCATGTCTGGAAACACGCTTTGCCAGAGGCAGGAGTGTTGTGAGATTGACCTTCAGCCCAGGTGCCAGGGGGTGGGATTTGTTATTTAAATCCAGCCAAGCAGTAGGAATGAATACAACTCAGGCCCACCCAAGAATGCACATAATCACCTTTGTTTTGACTTTTAGTAAAACTTCCTGTTTTTTTCTGTATAAAATAAACATGTTGTATTGGCTCTGAGTCCCTGTCTCTCCATCAGAGGACAGTGGTCCCACCCGGCCCCAGCTCTTTCCTTCCATCTCTGTGTCTGTCTCTTTCTTTCATTTTCTCAATCCCCAGCCGCCTCTACTCAGGAACCCGACCGCTCTCTAGCAGAGATGAGAGAAATATTTACAGGTTCCCATTTAAAAAAAACAACAACAAAAAACAAAACACTGTAACTAAATAAAGGAGAATGGGTGGTTATGGACAAAAACAACAAAAGGCCATTGCAATTTTATTAAATTTAAATACCATTTCAATTTTACTGTGACTCTTAACTCAAGCAAACTCAATCATTCAACATTTATTAGGCCCACCTATGTGCTACTAGGCAAAAAGGATACAAAGATAAATTCACTCTTCCCTGAGAGGGAGACAACTTTTTACAATAGTGTGTGAAGCAATTGAGATCAGCCTTGTCGCAGGCCAAAGAGTCATAATCCACATTATCATTCAGTTCCCTACTTTGTTTGGCTAATGTAGACTTGACTTAGTATGTGAATTCTCCATGTGCATGTATTAAAAATTTGATTTTATTCTGTTGTGCTTTTTCTTTTTAGCAAAGGAGGAAAACAGCAATTCCTCAAAAAGTGAAATATAGAATTACCATGTGGTCTGGCCGTTTCATTTCTGAGTACATACACTCTGGATGA